AAAAGCAAGGGAAGGGGTGGTGGGCCCGCAGGGGTTGGATGGGAGAAGAAATGAGGCATCATTGGTGATGGTGGAACATGGTGTGGGGGGGGGGCGGTTGGGGGGATTCGTTAGACGCTCGAAAACGCGCCCGTTGTGGTGTACATATTGCGGTAATGAACACGCTCGCAGTCGAAAACATGTGGAAAAGTAATTGCTTCGCAACAAAAAAAGGGAAAAAATAGGCATTATCGGAGACCGATGCCGATGTTACTCACCTCATGTTTTGGCGTAGTTTTTTTAAGGGGGTCGTGGGTCGTGGTGTTCCGACTAACCTCGCCGCAGGTTCCTGACGACAGACTTTACGCCGCTGCCGCTCAACGGCAAGTCCGCAACCAAGTACCCGACGCGCATCCTGCACGACGGCGTCCTGGAGGTGTGGTACCGGCGGGACGACACCTTCCAGCTGCCCGTCGCCTTCCTCTACTTCCAGCTCGTGTCGCCGCTGCCCATCAAGTCACTGCAGAACGCCGTGCTGCTCGATTTGCTGGTAAGAGACAAAAGAGATTTGCCCATCACGGTAAAAACAGTTCTGTTGTTGATGATGGGTCTTGATCGTGACTAACTTGAAGATGTTGAACCAACGTTCACTGGTCCAAGGGCCGCGGAATTAGGAAGCACCGCAAGGCAATGGACGTCACACGACACGTAACTTGGGTGACGATGACAACTGACATCTACTGAGTCTGAGTGGTGGTTCAGTTGGCGCCAAAACAGGTGCATCAATCTCAATACAGGAAGACAAACTGAGTAATATTGGCAGCATAGCCAACTCTACAGCAAAACCAATGTATGTTGTTTGTGAGGTAGAAAGGAAAAGTTGAAAGAACTCCTGTAGTTAGAGGAAAACTCGGATTTTGAGAATAAGGGACTGTCTAAAAGTTGAAATTTCCCCCATTTTCGGATTTTATCCGGGGCGCAACCATTCCCTGTCCGCTCAGACAGAAAGAACCATCGACTGTTGCAGGTGACGGTCCTCAAACAGCAACTCGTGGAGGAGCTGTACCCGGCTGAGATGGCGCTGCTCAACTACTGCGTGTACTCCAACGAGAAGGGGCTCGTGGTGCGCGTCGAGGGCTTCAGGTGCTCGCTCGCCGCGTGAGCCGCGTCCACTCCACAAAGACGACACAATGCCCCTCTCCACCCTGTGGCTGTGGTCGTGTGGAGGGCGCGGCTGGCGCGGCTCGTGGGGGATCGAGTGTCCACACACACAGTGAAGAGGGTGGGGAGGGGTTGCACCACACCCCGCACGAGCACCCGAGTGCAGCCGGAGCTCACCCCGCCATTGTCGCGCCCCCGTGCCGCCAGCCAGAAGCTGCCGCTGCTGCTCGATGCCATCTTCGCGCAGTTGTCGCGCGTCGCGGAGCACGTGGACGGCGCCCTGTTCGCCGCCATGCAGGAGAGCCTGCGGCGCCTGTACCACAACACGTTCGTCAACCCCACCAAGCTGGCCAACGAGCTCCGCATGTCGCTGCTGCTCCAGGTGAGCTCTTGCTCGCTCCTCCGCCCCCCGGGGTGCGATCCCCGCGGAGGACGACGACGGCCCCGTGTAAAACTACCCTCCTTGCATTGTCGTCAGATATACTGGACGCCCGTGGACAAGTACGGCGTCATCGCGCAGACGACCCTGGAGCAGCTCAAGAGCTTCGCCAAGGACTTCCTCCAGCGCATGTACATCCAGTGCCTCGTCCAGGGCAACGTGAGCATGGAGGGCGCGCTGACCATCTGCCGCCGCGTGGCGGACACCCTCCGGTGCCGGCCCCTCAAGGCCAAGGACTTCCCCACGCTGGCCGTGTGCCAGGCAAGATGCTCCGCGCCCCTTACGGGGCTGGCCTCCAACGTTCTTTAGCCTCGTCACCGCCGACTTCATCGGGGTTTGCGTCGTGTCCGTCTCAGAGGGTCGCCCTAACAGGCTGGCGCCCACTCACAGGTGCCTCTGGGCGAGAGGTGCTGCCGGGTCCGCACCTTCAACCCGGACGATAAGAACTGCAGCACCGTCAACTACTACCAGTGCGGGCGTGCCACCGTGGTCAAGTGCTGCATGTCGGAGCTGCTGGTGCAGCTGCTGGACGAGCCCGTGTTCAACGCGCTGCGCACGCGCGAGCAGCTGGGCTACGACGTCACGTGCCAGCGCCGCACCACCTACAACACCCTCGGCTTCCTCATCACGGTGCGATGCCCGCGGGCGACGAGGTGGGGGTGGGGTGAAGGCGCGGTGTGCGGCGGCAGCCTGTTTCACAGACTCGGGGTCCCGACAGGTCAACTCCCAGGCGGACAAGTACACGATGGACCACGTGGACAGCCGCATCGAGGCCTTCCTCAGAGACTTTAGTCACGCCCTCAAGACGCAGTGCACCCGCCGATTCAAGTTCGTGAAACGCTCTCTACGCGACGAGAAGGAGTGCGTGGACTTCGATCTCCAGGTAGGCTTGTCGCGTCGTTGGTCCACCCTATACGCTGCTAGCTCACACTCTGCACTGCCCACCCAAACCCGGGCCGCACAGGACGAGGTGTCGCGCAACTGGAAGGAGATCACATCCAACACGTACATGTTCGACCGGGCCGAGCGGGAGCGACAGTGCCTCAAGAACATCCGGCTCAAGGACCTCCGGAAATGGTGCGACGCTCGCCGGGACGGAGGGGCGTGCTCGTGTGCTCGTGCAGCTACTGACGGCGCCTCGCGTTGCCCGCCACACACAGGTTCCTTGCCCACCTGGGCCAGGACACGCGCCGCAAGCTGTCGGTGCAGGTGGTTGGAAATCGCGACGGCGGAACGTCCGAAGATGCGAGCGCGTCAGCGACGGCGGCGGCGTCCTCTGCGGCGGCGGCGGCGGCGCCGACGGCGCCACCCGTCCCCGTCCGGGGGCGGCTCTCCTTCCGGCCGAGCAGCGGGGCGGCACAGGCGCAGAGCCAGGCGGCGGCACAGGCGCAGCGCAGCAGCCGCTCCCCGCGCGGGGGCGGCGCCGCCGGTGGAGGACCCTCCTTCAGCCTGCGCTACGTGCGCGCGTCCGACGCCCGGCCCGCCGCCTACTTCGTGACGGACGTGTCCGCCTACAAGAGGGCCACCAGCATCATCCACAGCCCCAGCTACAGCCCGTCGCCCGGCAGCCAGGTCAAGGCGGCCGACGAGGACGACGACACCGACGTAGCCGCCACCGCGTCCACCGCGGCAGCCTCACCGACCACGCCTCGCGCCGCCACCACCTAGCCCACGAGAGCCGAGTTGTTACGGACGTCTAATGAAGCGGTTCAGTGTGTAGCAAAGTCACATTATCTTCGATGTTGCAGCTGCTTGTCAGCGTTTCCATGTTGACAATCCTTTCCAGATGTGCCTCATTTCCATAGCAGGGAAAAAAAATAGAATGAATATTTTTCTGTTTTTCAAGAAGAAACAATAAGGCTCTCAAAATCGAAAGCTGTTGGGCAAAGACATTTATCCAACTGCTTAAGATTACAATCTTTTACAGTTCTTATCACATGAAGGGACCCTAGGCCTGTGGAGCGCAGGATTTCGAACAAAAGGCATGGTAATGTACAAAGACTACATTTATTGCATCCAAGTTCAAGTACATGCCTCACAGTCACCAGTTTCAGAAAATACTGAAATATGAGGTTGGTAAGCATTAACTGCTAGTACCACTTTCAAAGGAACATGGACTGTAAGGCATAAGATCACTATCGCCAATGAGTCCATCAGGTACAGGCGAGCGTTATAACATAATCCATGTTTTCCTCTTACATTAAAACTCTCATAATAAAGGGTCAAAAATAACAAATTTATTATTATCAACAAGACATGTCCGCATTTTCTCATACCTCCTCTATCACACAGTAAAGTACTATTGTATTTACAAATAAAAAATACATTCTTTTCAGCTTCAACGTAACATCCCACAAAAAAGACATACATATCTACATGGTAGGCAGTTCCATCCTCAATCATGAGGAAATTATTTTTATATGAAAAATCATGCTCTACTTACTAAGTGCAAAGGCTTTGACGATTCATAAATGCAAGACAATGCATCATTATATTTTGATTCTAAAATTACCAGCAATTCCATGCTTTGCTGGTAAGCTAAGGGTGGGATAAGACAGGAGAAAAAGAGCCCCCAAACAGCTTCAGTGTAAACAACTGAATAACAGAATCACAATAAGTTTTTAACAATGCATCATGTTGCATTGAATTTAGAGTATAACTACCCAAAATGTCCTAATTTTCAGGCTATCCTGTTCCGTAGGAACAATAACATTATTCAGGCAAGGTCGAGTTCAAATCAAGTACAAAATCATTCATACACCCAATCAATGCCTAAGCAATAATGAAGAATACAAAACTGATGCTCAAATCTTTCTCAATCTTCTTCATGATGACTTTTTTTCTCATAATTGGACCAGAAATGAAAATATGATGAAAAGATTCATAGATTGAGCTACAGAACTGTCAAAAGTATTTGCACCAACGGTACCTTCATCACTGTTTAAACAACTACACTTCCTCCTCCACATAGGAAAAATAAATAAGTCACAAAAATAGACAAAACAATGTTTGCAGGCAATTTAAAGTTAGATGAAGATGTCAAGCTGGCACACCAGAAAGCACCTGTACTGCCTTCACACAAGAAAAAATAAAGGAACAGGAAAAAAAAAAAAAAGGTGTCAGCAATCCAAATATATCACACAACACAGAATGCTGCACCAAAAGTATTTAATAAGAATGTTAAAGGAATAGGAAAGCAGCTCTCCAGAAACACTGAATTTATATAAAAAGAATGAAAAATGCAGAGAAATGATGAAAACTATAAATACATGCTCATAAATCACATTAGCACAAGGGTCTTTTACAGCAGAAGAAATTGTCATTTGAAATGTATGAGGTGCAGATATTAGAAAGGCAATAGTTAAAAGCAGAGTTTAAAAATGTTAAAAAGCATCGGAGGAGATGCAGCAATAGACTTTCTTAATTTGGTTTCATTAAACACCCTGTACTTCCTAAAATTCAGATTTTTCAAATTCTTCTTTCACCTCAACAGATAACAAATATAGGGACAATTCTTCCAGACAATTAAATTTCAGTGTGTAATGGAACATTACCATGTGCGGATCATGATTATAACAACACTAATAAAACTTTGTTCGGATATTCAATGGCTAGCATGGAAAATAAGACTTAAAAATGAGATTAAAGATACCAAGAGGAAATTTTTTTTCATCATCATTGCACTAATCAACAGAATATTTATGGCTGTAGCCAAAACACACAGTATAAATCAAAGATAAATCAAAATGCTTCCGGGAGATAATTAAACAACACCTTCTTGAAACAACCCCATTAGAGAAGGTTTATCACTTTTGTAATCATATTTAACTTATTTGACGTAGATTTCATGAGTTGAATTACATACTTCCATACCTAATTTGATATGAAACAAACCTTTCATTCACATTACCCTGCACACACTTTGATTCAGACAGGTTGGTCGAATACTGTATGGTAACGTACTAAGAAAATGTTAATCTGTCTTAGCACATTGTCGACAGGGGAACCTATTCATACCATTACTACAAATACTTCAGGTAAGAAAAGAAGGTTCCTGAACTGACAGCATTCAAGACCTTGGTCAAAAGAAAAAAACATTCTACAATCATTTCCACAATTTCTTCAGTTTTGAAAATTCTCTGCATTGTTCTGCAGCAAACATATTTGGTCAAAGAGTTAAGTCCCAACAGGCAATACAGTGTATTTAACAAATTCAAACAACAATAAGAAAAGGTCCATAATTTACCAAAAAAATTAATGTTGTAAATAGCTTGATTTTTAAAGAGACAGGGAAGTTGTCTTATGTTCACCTGCCAGGGAAAACACTATCAAAAAAGAAACAAAAATTAGGAAGATAGTCAAGAGATGTGATATATCACAATTTGAGAAGCTAATTTTAGATGCCCTCGCCATAATCTCTGTCTCCAACATTTATGCGGTCTGGAGCTGCAGTGACACTGAAGCCAAGAATACTCTGGTCAACTTTGAACATTTTACCCTTCTTGGTTTTTTTGCCTTTGCCCTGTAAGAAAGTTATGAACAAGTTTTAGAGCATACTACAATGGCTTCAATTAACTTTTTACTTACTAGCAGTTTTTAATGCTTGATTTAAACTAAGAAAGAAGACTGTTCCTTACCTTAACTTCCTGGAAGTCATGACTTGCTTGTTGTGACACTGGATTAACAGCAGGTGCAGGAGCACACATGTCATCCGCAGCAGGCTTGCTTCGTCTCTCACTGCGCCACTTGCTTCGCCTTTCAAGAAATTGACGCGCAAAATCGTTGGAACCTTCTCCTTCACCAAGATACTGACGAACATAGTCCTTGACTTCATAGGGAGATTCAATATCTCTGAGGAAACCCACGAAGGTGGGAACTGAACAAAAAGGGAAAATGTTACTCAAACTCAAAAGCACTAATACTATAACCAGAAATGGAGGCTCAACAAAAAAAAATTACTCACTATCAACAGAGGGCTGCAAAGAGGCAAGAGCTTTGTGGCACCACTGACTAAACTCATCAGTACGCTGAACAGTCTGCTCAAACAGTTTAAGAACAGTGGCTTCTTCTTTCTTCTTCTTGGCTGAATTATTGGCAGACTTAGCACCTTGTTGAGCAGAGGCCGGGACATTCGATGCGCTGGCACTTTTGACAGGTGTTCCTTTTTTCATGGCTTGGGCAGCTGGTTTTACTGGAGACACAGCAGGACTGGCAACTTCATCCCAGAATCCTGGTCCAGAACCTACAAGAGCAATATTATTAGCTTCTCCAAATGACTATGTAATGTGGATATGAAGCAGATAAGTAGTACAAAATGCATACTGGTATTTCCCCAAGTAAGACTTTGAGGCGCAGAGCCCCAGATGCCAACTGAGGGAGCAGGAACATCTCGAGCAGCAGCAGCTCGTTCAGCTCTCTCTGCCCGATCTCGTTCCAGTTGCTGAAAATGATAGGATCACGGTGAACAAGAATAAAAACATAGTACACCATAAAACTAAATTTACACAAAATACGGAACTGAACAACTAGAACACTGAGACCAACCTTTGCAATTCTTTCTTGCTCTTCCCTTTGAATTTGTTCCATGGTCTTTGCCTCTGGTAATGGTGGTGCCTTCCTTTCCGCCCATTTTAATTGCATTTGAGCAGGTTGCGCCTGATTTTCAGCAGCAGCCAGTGAGGATGCAAGCATGGCAGAAAGCTGGTTCTGATGATTTTGTTGCTGAATTTGTTGAAGAATTAATTGTTGCTCTCGTAGCTGTTCTTCCTTTTCTCGTTTTTGATTGCGTTGTATCTCTGCAAGACTAAGGCTAGCAGGTTGAGAATTGAGTTTGGCAGCCTGAGGTTGACTCCATGGAGCAACCTTAGCGGTTTTAATTGCTGCAGCTGCCTGAGCTTGCTTCTGCTGCTGCTCCTGCATCTTGCGAAGTGCCTCTGCTTGTTGACGTTGCTGTTCAGTTCTTTTGGCTTGTTCTTCTGCTTCTCTTGCTCTTTGTTGTCTTTCCTCCTCTTGCCTTTTCTTCTCCTCTTCCTCTCGTCGCTTTCTCTCTTTCTCTTCTTCTTTTCGTCTCTTGTCTTCTTCTTTCTTCTTTTTGTCTTCCTCTTTCTTCCTTGCTATCTCTTGCCGTTTTGCTTCCTCCTGCTTCTTCCGATCTTCTTCCGCTTTCCGTTGGTCTTCCTTTCGTCTTGCTTCTTCTTCTTTTCGTTTGGCTTCCTCTGCTTTCTTTTTCTGTTTTTCAGCTTCAGCTGCAACTGCGAGTGCATTTGCTTCTTCAGCTTCCTGTCTTGCCCTAATCTCTTCTTCACGACGGCGCTGTTCTTCTTCTTCTTGTTTTCTCAGGAGTTCTTGTTGCTTCTTCCTATCCTCTTCAATAAGCATTTGCTCTTCCAAAATTTGTTTTTCAGTCTTCATCTCCTTAGTATTAAGATCGCCCCAGAGTGAGGCAGTAGATGGCGGAAGCATGGGTCCTGAAGGTGGCACCGAGCCTCCAACTAGAGGAGGCCGCACACCTCCAAGCCAACTTCCATGGTTGTATACAGGAAGAGGACTTCCCCACAAAGAGTCCCCCTGTAAGAAATTAAAACATTCAATAATTCTGGATTCATACAGTTCAATAATAATGACACCTATAACAAACAGAGCAAGGACTCACAGCAGCTTGATGATGAGCTACTTGCTGATGTTGCTGCTGCTGTTGTTGTTGTTGTTGCTGATTTAATTGCCTAAGCAAGCTTTGAATAGGATCTGATGGCAGTTGATCATTAGAAGGTTGTTGTGCCTGGGCTGGAGAGGGTGGGGGTGATAGCCTTGATGACAATCCACCCATTTGCTGAATCAATTGCTGCAATGGGTCTAGAGGTTGGCCTGGCTGTGGTCCAGGAACATCTTTGGCCTGCATTTACAAAGAAAGTTAGAGGCCAAATATGATTTTTCAGAGAAGGCAAAAAAAAAGAAGGCGCTAACTGTACCTGCGGCATACGTGGTTGCTGCTGTTGCTGTGATTTCTGTTGGAACTGTGACATTAGAGCCATGACAGAACTTGGAGCAGAAGCATTGGGCAGAATTGGAGGGCCAGCATCCATAGTAGCCATATGTGCATTCATTTGAATGTGCTGAGACACAAGCTATCAAGAATACAATGATACATGAGAGTTGTGAAAAAAACAGGAACTTGCATTTTTGGAAAGTTGAAAAAAAAAGTACCTCCTGTTGTTGGATAGGAGAAAGTGTGTTCCAGCCTTCTGTTTGTTGAAGCTTGCTCACAGCAGCTGCAGCAGCAGCCTGAGATTGTTGTCTATAATGTTTGGGACAAGATATTACATGAGGAAAATTGATGGATAAATAATTTTGGTTCAATCAGAATGATCTAAAAACCTACCTTAAGAACATTTGCTGCTGTAGTACTTGATACTGATGCTGCATCATCATAATGTCTGGTTCCCCAGGGATACCTGGGACGCCAGGTACACCAGCAACTCCAGGTACTCCAGGAATTCCTTGCATTCCGGGAATTCCAACCATTGGCATTTTAGGCATACCAGGGCCCATAGGTATTCCAACACCTGGGTTCCCCATCAAAAGAGGATCTGCCCCCTAAACCAAAATCCCCCAAATTATATTAAATGTTTCCATATACTCTAAAATATGACAAACATAAAAAATTCCTTACCTTAACAGGAGGCACATTTGCCTCTGTCATGAAGGGAATCCCACCAAACACTTTAATCAGATCCTGAAGTTGAGAAAATCTCTCATCCTTGGCACGCCTGACAAGCAAATTCAGGTTGAAGTAACCCAGTCTAAACCACTCGGCCATTTCTTCGGAAGAAAACGGTCCTGAAATTATTTGAATTAAAAGTGGTATTAGATTGGACAAACTTGTATGGTTTGTGGTAGGGTACACTTGCTTTCAGGTGGGACATAGCATTATTATTTTAGATATAAATGTAGTACCTTGAACTTGGCCTTGCGGGTCTCTGTAAAACCACTTTTCTGGTTCCCGCACATGAGTTCCCATATGAGAGTGATGGTGATGGTGACCCAAGTCATCACGAATTGGGCCTTCCTCTTCTTCCATTAACTTGGCAACAAGATCATGGGCGACTACCCCCATCCTCTCCATTGCATCTTCGGACTTGTGTTCTAAAAAAAAAAGTAGGCACATTAAGTGAACCATAAAGATATGAATGTAAAAACATAGTAGTGCAAGTAACACTGTACCTCGGAGAATGTGTTGTCTTGTGTCTACATGATTTTCTTGATGAATGTTATTTGGCACACTGATGGCTGGCATGGATGCTGAAGTAGTCAATGGGTTTGGAAGTTCAGAAGGATGTGGAGGAGTCTTGAGTTTACTCTTAGCTGGTGGGGCTGCCTGTGGGCTGGGAGACTCCTTTGATTTCAAATCAGGATCACTCTTGGAATTTTGTACAGGTTTGATTGGTGTTGATTCTTGATCTTTGAATTCTTCACTACGAGGTGGTGTAGAGGGAGATGGCACTCTGACATCATTTTGTTTGTCCAAATATGGAGTAAGTTTCTCACTAACTCTTTCTGCAGATGCTCGATCAGTTGCCACTACACGTCTATGATTGGCATTTGAGTTTCCATCTCTTTTTCCAGGACCAGAACTGTTACCCTCAGAGAGAAGTCGAGTGCGTCTAAGGACACTATTATTAACAGTTCCACCATTCTACAATAGGAAGACAATGTTACATTTCAGTCAGTTCCAGCACAAAGTATGTAATATCATACAACAGAATACAATTTCAAGTTTCATACCTCCTCCTCATCTGAATATGTATGCCCTCCATGAAAGGCACCCTGTGCATCAAAGCTGCCACTGCTATTATCAGCTCCATCAACAGCCCTAGAAAGCCCACAATTTCAAAATATTACTATAAAATAGCCCCTAAAAATACAGCAACCAGACCTGAAATTTTTCATTTGACGGGACACTTATTGAAAAGAATCTACAAAACCTAGAAATTGAATTCTTGTCAAAACTGAGAAATACTAACCATTCAGGTAAGTTACTAGAATGGTCCCAAGGCCGATGAGCTCGATTATAACCACCTCTTCCTTCAGCAAGCTCCCCTTCCCTCTCCCGGTCACGGTCTCCATCTCTCCAGCTAGTGGTTCTAGCAGCCCCACTGGCGCCTGCTCCACCCCATTTTCCCTTTTCAGGTGTTGTCCCTGATGCTCTCCAACCATCTTCCTCTTCTCCTGCCCGGCTTCGTCGCCAGTTACTGTCAGTAGTGAAGGTCCTCCCAGGTGAAGGCCCTCCTAAAGTTCGATCGTTGAAGTCTTTTCTTGGGCTTGTAGCAGTCCATTCTGCACTTGTATCCAGGCCATTCCGTTCGCTCCAGCTTCTGTCACTCTGATAGCATCCAAAGAAATATGTTAAATAAATTTACTAAAGCAAATATTTATTATGTATAGATTTACACACACCTGAGAGCGGTCAAATGGACGTGTTCCTCTGGTGTACCCACCAGGTGGGGCACCCAAATGACCATGGGGTGGGCCAGTGGGGGAGTCTCCACCTTCTTCATAGCTCAAACCTCTGTTATAGGTAGTAAAGCCCCCACGTCCTCGGCCCCTACCCAAAGTAACAGGCCCAACAGTTCCACCCCTACTACCTCTAATACTAGTAGTTAATGTTACAGAAGGGGGCTTCCCTGTTGCTCGCAACACAGCATCACTGTTAATGCCACGATTCCAATGGCGCTAAAATGATAAACATGAATACTCTTGAGTTGAGGGTTAATTTCATAAAACTTAACATAAGAAGCCAACTAATAAAATTATACCGTTTCTTCTTCCGTCATTTGGATGAGAGCCAATGGAACCTGTGTTTTGTCTACGAATAGACCTGGGAAGGTTGACAAAGGATCTGGGGCCTTCACTTGCATGTCAAAAAGCGCCAACATTTCTTCACGGCCATATCGATGTTCAGCAAGTTGATACCGAGGCGTGGGTGCTGACATTGGAGGAGGAGCAGTGCAGCCATCTTGCCCCATGTTGCGAAGCCTGAAGAACCATACAATAAAATATAAGATTCTCTAGCATACAGGATGTATTTTAGACAGGGTAAGACAGGAAGTTGATCCAGAAATTGTACTTACCATTCTGGCCCAAATTTCATGGAATCAGTCATCTCCAAAAAGAACTAAAGAAGAAAATAAACATCGATAACAACAAAAACAAATGATAAAACAGACTAAACATCAAAGAACTAAAAGGCATGATAGGGAGGCAAATCAAATACATAGATGGGACAGCAATTACCTGATGAACCAGTTTCACAAATGAAAACTGAGCCAACAGCAAACCGCCAAGCACAGGAAGGACAGCAAAGAAAGGGTAGTCGAAGACTGCCTTTGAAGGAAAACACAGGAAAAGATTAAAATCAAATATTGGCACTGAAGCAAAACAAACTAATGCAAGTCAACTGAACACAACATGCAAACGCAAACATAGAACATTTATTACAACAAATAATAAAGTGTGTGCAGCACAACAGTATTTACACTTTAATGTTGTGCTCACACTAAGCCAACAATCATTCCACAGAATACGCTCTATCCGATATAGTGATCGCCCTAAAGAGAGCTCAAATAGCACGAAACATGTTGATAATTGAGAAAATAGTTCAGAAACTATTCCCATTCAAGAAGTTAAAATATGCGGGGTTGCTGTTCCTTTGTTTAGGTTATTCGCCGCGCTGTGTACATACACTTGTAAGCTCACAACCAAACTCCAAAGAGTTGAGTACATCAGATCGGAATTGAAATTAGACTAAAAAGAGACCGCTGAATGTGGTCATGTGTGTAACATGTGCGTGGATTTATTGTAATTTTGAACACAGCCAAGGTGGCACAAGGCCTGACCTGGCAAGGATGGCATACGCTCGGTTGGTTACTTATCAACTTGACGAGCAGTTGGTGACAAGAAATCAATATCTGTATGAACCTAGGCCGTTAACTGTGTTCTAGCGTGTCCAAATCATTGTGACAAAGTTAATACAGAGGTGTCAATACCTTTTTTTCCACAAACACAAGAGTACAAGAG